GAGAATCTGGGAGTGAACCCAAGGCAACTTGCCTGGTCAAACCGCGTTTTCTCGTGCAGTGAGATAATAGTCTCAGCTCGGTTAACGGTGACGAACACAGAGAACCCTAGACTTACAGAAATATTCATAGACTCACATAGAGATCCATAGACTTACATAGAGATCCATAGACATACACAGAGATCCATAGACTTACACAGAGATCCATAGACTTACATGGAGATACATAGACTTAAACAGAGATCCATAGACTTACATAGAGATCCATCGACTTACACATAGATCCATCGACTCACATAGAGATCCACAGACTTACACAGAGATCCATAGACTTACATAGAGATCCATAGACTTACACATAGATCCATAGACTCACATAGAGATCCATAGACTTACACAGAGATCCATAGACTCACATAGAGATCCATAGACTTACACAGAGATCCATAGACTTACATGGAGATCCATAGACTTACATAGAGATCCATCGACTTACACATAGATCCATCGACTCACATAGAGATCCACAGACTTACACAGAGATCAATAGACTTACATAGAGATCCATAGACTTACATAGACAGGGATGTGGTTAAATTGGTCTTTTCTCTCCACCTGAAGAAGACCGCTTGTGTTGCAATCGAAACGTCGTGGGTTTTTTGCTTTTGATTTTAGTTTTTTATCTATGTGACTTTCCCGAAAGAACCAAGAATATATCCACAAACTTACACAGATATCCGTAGACTTACACATAGATACATAGACTTACACATATATCCATATACTCACATAGAGATCCATAGACTTACACATAGATACATAGACTCGCGCAGACATCCATAGACTCACATAGACTGGGCTGTGGATAAACCGGGTTCTTGAGTGAGTTGATGGTTAACAGGCCAATCACCAGCGACTTACACAGAGATCCATGGACTGACATAGACTGGGCTGCCACTAAACTGGGTTATCTAATCAAGTGAATTGATGGTCTCGCGAAGTCCATCAGTGGAACTTTTTTCTTAGCAGGAAGGGCCGAATTGCCCTGCTCGGCTCTATTTCATGGGCGTCCTGCGGCGACGGTGCAGCTGTGAAGCAGTACCGATCTTAGTTTTTCAGTTCTTAGCTCCCGAAGAAGTGTAACGTAATCACATTTGCTTAGGCCATCATCAAAAATAAATTACGTGCTTAGTTTGTTGCCCTTCCCCCCGCACCTCCATGGGACAAGCACGGTTGGCTACGTACGGTGCAAAAGAAGTTCAACACGCATGCAAAATTAATTCGAGCAAATGTGACCGATTAATGACAGCAGCAGTGAGGGAACGACAGACGGTCGTGCACCGGTGTAATGGCATAATGAGCTGCAGTGTGGATATCAGGAGCCCACGTATGTGGCTCCCACACAGAGGCAGACTTTGCAGTAGTGAGCCTGGCCATCATAAATGATAGCTCAACCAAGTGGCTTATCACGTGGACATTTATAGCAGCCGAATACTCGAAACGTGTGATGTTGTTTCTAAATATGGAGGGAAAAACCCGCAGGACCCAGAAACAAATCTACACAAACACAGAGAAATGCAAACTCCAAATATACAGGCGTCAGGGTCGGGATCGAACCCACGACCTCCTGTATACCAGGCGAGGTAGTTAACATCTCACCACAGTTGTCTGTCTGCATCTCTGCTGCTGTCAGTTTGATCTAATTTGTTGTGATGGTGGCCTAAAACAAGATGAACCACAATGCAGTTCTTCTTTCTTTGCATGTGCACAAAGGTTGTGTGTGGGGGTTTTTCCTTTAATACATTTTGGGTGAGTGGTTTGGAAACGTATTGGTTGTAGCAGCAAAAGCCATGGCCTGTTTCGATCACTCTGAGTGGCATCAGCAGTGCGTAGCCTGGTAAACACGTGCCGCTGCTGTACAACATTGGTCCGGAAGCAGCATAGGCTGATTGAGACAAAAAAATGTATTTTATCTAAATGCGGAGAAACCAACAACGATAATCCGTTATTTATTTATATTCACACCCGCATCAGAACATCAACAGGCCGATGCACACATCTTAATAGTAAACTGAAGATAGAAGCCACGAGTGCAATTGTGGCCATGCTATGCTAATATGGACCGTATTTAGTAAACGCATATAGACCCACAGAGATGCATAGAGACTCGTGGAGAACCATAGATGCACACAGAGACTCGTAGAGCTGCACAGAGACTGAAGGAGTTCCTGTATATAGATACCCACATAGATACATAGACTCGTGGAGACCCATATATACACATTGACAAGTTTCACGATTTTATGTATGTTGAACTTCTTTCGCACCGTACGTAGCCACCCGTGCTAATCGGAGGTGCGGGGAAGGACAACAAACGAAACAATTCCAAAGAAATACGTTTTCAATCTAGATGATGATTTAAATGTGCACAGCTCCAGTGGCTTCCTAATATCGGAAGAGCGTTCCAGACGGCCGCAGAAGCGCATCTGAAAGCGTCGCGCGATGGCGCGGTGACCGACGTCTTTGTTCCTCCCATGGCCGGCCAAAAGCTGTGGGGGGTGGGGCTTTGAGTCTTCCTCCCGCGAGTCACGGTGGTGTCGTGACACCGTCGTGTTTATTCTCCGTTGTTAAACCACAAACATCAAGTTTAACAAAAGGAGCGTCGTTAAATATTTACTCGGCTTCCACGCACGCACGCATCGGTGTGTCTGCGTCTTTGGGGAGTGGCGGCGTTGTTGTTTAGCGCGCTACGCTGCGAACCCGAGAGTTCGATTCCTGCTCACGGCCAATAAAAAAATATTTGAAGCGGTCCTCGGCTTCCCCTAGGTCGACTCAGCCTTAAATGAGTATCTGGTTCGGTGTGTAAACATCAGTACTGGGGAGACAAAGGCGGCCGGGCGTGGTGCTGGCCACCCACCCCCTCGTGTGCCGTGTCAGCCTTCATAAGTGCTCGTTAACAGCACTTGCCTCTACAGTCTGTTACAGGATAAACGGGGATATTTGTCTTTGCGTATGTGAACACGTGCGTCACGGGGTGTATTTGAGTGACAGACACACGCGTACTCTTCAATATACATACAATGCTCCGGACAAAGATCCCCCGTATAGCCTTTAACAGGCAGTTGGGGAAAGTGCTGTTAGCGAACAGCACCTATGAAGGACGGAACTGCACACGAGAAGGCGGGGTGGCCAATACCACGCCTGGCCGTCTTTGTCTTCCCAGGCATAATGTTTACACAATGAATCAGGCGCTCATATTTTAGGCTGAGTCGACCTAGGGGAGGCCCATCACCGGTTTATTTATTCCCCACTAATATTATTGGTCGTGAGCGGTAATTGAAATCGGTCGTTGGAGTCGTAGAAGAGGATGCTAACCGCTGCGCCACCGCTCCCCACCATACACACAAACACATATCCCCCGTGCAGCCGATGTCTCCAGACTGCTGGTGCAAGTGCTGTTAGCGAGCACCACCTTGAAGACCGGAACGGCACACAAGGGGGATGGGTGGCAAGCACCACGCCCGGCCGCCTTTGTCTCCCCAGTGGCGATGTTTACACACCGAACCAGATACTCATTAAAGGCCGAGTCTACCTAGGGGAGGCCCAGTACCCGTTCAGATAATCGTCGTCGTGAGCGGGAAACTAGCGCGGATCAACACACAAACACTTCCAATATACATACATGAGCCCAAACACACACACTCGCAATATACAATGCAATGAGCCAGACGAGGACACACACGCATACATTTACGCACTCGCCACTTACAATACACGTGCCAATTGCCACTCACACACCTCACCATTCGACCGTATATAAGCCCACCGGCTCTGCCCCCAATCTCCCTTTGCGGTCTGGCCCGTTTCGAGGGACACTCGGGAGTTCGCATGGCGTTGATCGCACACACACACCGCGCATTGCAACACCACCGCTAGTCGTACAGGTTGGACTCTCTGATAGTCGTGCTTAGACTAGTTTTTTTCCACCCAGGTATATATATAAAAAAATGTTTTCGTAACTCTGCACCGCAACGACACCCGGCCGTCATCATTGCCGCCTGTGTCTGAATATGTGATGCGTGATTGACTCAGGTGATGGGATGTGGGCACCTATCGGCGAGTCGTTTGCACGTGGCAGTGAGGATTGAGGTCCCGGGTGTTGAACGCCCGTAAGGGTGCGATCATTGCACATTTAACTCAAAGCGACTGCGTTAGTCGGCGCTAGTTAGGTGGTTTAGCCACGTACTGACACCCACACACACAAACTAACAAAGACCCCTTCTATAGACTTAAACAGACTGTTGGGGCAAGTGCTGTCAGCGAGCACCAGTGAACACACACACACACTAAGACACACGAACACACAAACATCGACACTCACACAATCTCACTCACATTAATACACAGATCCACAAAAACACACTTTATACATACACATTCACACACGTATACATACACCTATACATTCACACCCTAATACACACACGAATATATATAGCAATATAAACACACACTCGCACTCACATATGCACATTAATACAAACAAATACGACGTTGTCCCCGTGTAGCCTACACAGATCGTTGCGTAACAAGTGTTGTTAGCGAGCACCTATTAAGGCCGGAACGGTGCACTCACACCCCTAAACACAAAACACGCACGCCTAGCACATCGCACACCTAATATACCGAACACACCACACACATCTAACACCACACATACCTAACACACGCACCCACACACACAAACCACTCCGAACACACACACCGCACACACACCACACACACACACCACACACACACACACCACACACACACACCACACACACCGCACACACACACACCACACACACCACACACACACCACACACACACACCACACACACACACCACACACACACCACACACACCGCACACACACACACCACACACACACCACACACACCACACACACACACACCACACACACACCACACACACACCACACACCACACACACACACCACACACACACCACACACACCACACACACACCACACACCACACACACACCGCACACCACACACACACCGCACACATGGCGCGTCGTGTCCTGCACGTCGCGCGTCTCCTCGCCACCGCCTTCACCATCGCCCTTTTCATCCTCACCACCACCTCCACCACCTCCGCCGCACGCGCGCGCCCGAGAGCCCCGAAGCCGCCGGTGCCACTGATGTGCGCCGGGCCGACGTGCAGCTGCCACGACCTGGACGTGAAGTGCGAGGGCCAGGGCCTCGACGACCTCTCCCGGCTCGGCGCACCCCCGGAGGGGCCCTTCCGCCTCTTCCTGCAGCGCAACGCGGTGCGGCGGCTGCCCGCGCTGGCGTTCGCCCGCCTGCCTGGGCTCAGCCTCCTCAACCTCGCCTCCAACGGCCTCGCGCACATCGCCGAGGGCGCCTTCAGCGGCCTCGCCGAGCTGCGGCGCCTCCACGTGAACCGCAACGCTCTCGAGGAGCTGCGCAACGACACCCTGCTGGGCCTCAGCTCCCTCGAGTACCTGCAGGCGGACCACAACCTCCTGCGCAGGATCGAGAGCGGCGCGTTCGCGCGCGCGCCGAAGCTCAGCGTGCTGCTGCTCAACGACAACCAGCTGGAGAGTCTCCCCGCGGGACTCCTGCAGAGCTCCGCGGCTCTCACGGCCCTGGACCTCAGGGGAAACCGCCTTAAGGTGAGCGTGGGAGACGGACGATGTCCGTCCGCCTTCCTGCGTCGCGTCGCGGGGTGGACGTTTGAAGAGAGCGTTCACAATAAGGCAGCGGCAGTAGCAGGTTCGACGCAAAAGCCAAGGCGTTAAACTGAGCAGGACTGCCAAGTTGGACGGTGTTTAATGGTCGATATTAGGGAAGACACTGGAGCTGTGGACCTTTATACTCAATTCTATCTCGGGGATCTGCCGAAACCGTCCGCTGACCCTGTCAGGCAACTTGGATCCACCAAAATTCGGGCACCCTGAATGGTACCAAGGGCAACTCGGCGTTCAGACGCCTCGCCTCAGTCCTTCAGGCTCGCCTGAAAACCACATCATTTTCTCATGCGTGTCCGTCTGTGTAGGGCTGTTTCACTCTTAGTTTTAAAGTTAAGGGGTTTTACTGCGATTGTGTTGTAAGCGCTGTGAGGCCTTGCGTGAATGGAGCTATATACAATTGAGTTTCACTTACTTTACTTACTAAATCATCTCGATTGAAAACTAATTTCTTTAGGACTGCTTTCTTTGTGTTTAGTTTGTTGTCCTTCCCAACGCACCTCCGATTCGCGCGGTTGAATACGTACGAAAGAAGTTCAACATGCGGCACATACATTGCACGGGCAAGATGCTCGGTTGAGTCGGCCGCTTGGTTCACCAGAACACAACGTGGTTGGACTGGGTGGGCATCCATCAGTAAACTAAACCAAGGCCGTACCCATGGAGTCAAAATTGGGGGGGACCAAATCTTCCAGGGGGTCTAAATTTTAAAACGAATTTCCTGCCTAAAATATAAAAAAATTAACTAACACATAGGATGGACTTTTTATTTATTTTTTTACAATAATCTCTAACAGTGTATTGTATTACATGGCACCGTTTTTTTTCTTTTTTACCTTTTCTTGTTTCATTGTATGTAATGGCAGAGATTAGGGATTAATAAAGTACAACCATAACCACAATCATATAAACAGAAATACATTTTATCGCAATATATTGGGGGGGGGGGCATTTTGAGCATGTTTCAATATTGGGGGGGGGGGGATGTGTCCCCCCCCCCCAATATATCTTATAATTACGGCCTTGAACTAAACTATGTTTTATTTTACCAGGTAAGGCCCACTCAGCTATACAGCTCTTTTTCAGAAGCGACTTGGCCACAAATTATAACTCAACGAAGTGGCTTATTATCATCACGTTACATTTTATTGCAGCCAAATACTCTAAACGCGTGATTGCTGATTCTAAATGTGTAAGGGGAAAACCGGAGGACCCGGAGAAAAGTCCACGCGACCACGGGGAGAGAGAGACACGCAGACTCCAAATATACAGCAGCAGGCGTCAGGGTCGTTATCGAACCCACGACCTCCTGTATACCAGGCGAGGTGGTTAACATCTCACCACAGTGGTGTGGGCCCGATAGATTTTGCACCTCACCATCGCATTTACAGTTTAATTGAGTCCCCCGATTGTTCCGCTTATGGAGAAAATATCCTCACACCGTCTTCTTCTTCTTCTCCTGACGTTGCGTGATGGTGGTTGTCGTTGGGACGCGGGTTGTTGAGAGCAAGGTCCCGACTGTCTTCAGGGCAGCAGAGAGACAGACACCAGCGCTGTCCCTTCCGTGGGGTTCTCGTGAGGGTCAGCCGCTGTGTTCCCCACGTCTCGTGACAGAATCAGAATATTTATTTGTACTTGAGGGATCCGATGAGCTATGAAGCTTTTTGTTCACAGATGTTCAGTAGGGGGCAGGTCAGAACGTTACAACAACAAACAAGACACAAACACGATAGGAGTGCAAAATACAGGAAAGGTGAGCAAATCACTGAAAAAAGGTAGAAATTAAATTGTACTACTTGTATCTTACCAGGAAAAGCCCACTGAGCTCTTAGCTTCCTTTTCAGAAGCAGCCCGGCCACAAATGATAGTTCAACGAAGTGGTTTATCACGATATAGCAGCCAAATACTCTGAACAATTGAGCGGCACGAGGAAGACAATGTCTCCTCCACGTAAAAGAGCATCTCTTACTCATCCCATCAGCCACACGCACCGCCTTCTGGGACTCCATTCATTTGAGCAGCATTGATTCATGGCAAGCAAAACTCTTGCACCGGTTTCGACACACAAGTGTCTCATCAGCAGAGTCAAGCTCAATGCTCGAATCGATGCTGGCCAACTGGTGATGTTACAGGCAACGACTGGTTTTGACACATAGTGTCTCGTCAGTAGAGTCAAGCTTGACGCTTGAATGATCGCTGGTGAAGCTACCGAACTTACAGGCAAGGACCATCTCTCCTTACCCCATGAGGTCCCAATTCGACGCAACATTCGACGGCGATACACAACTCAACGACCACCAACGTTGTTGAGGAGATAATTTAAATAACGAGATACACGCAGACAATGACTCCTTCGCGTATCCGTCTCTCTACATAAACCCATCAAAGTATTTATTTACACGTTCCATCAGCCGAGAGGCGTAGTTAACGACATTATCAGCTCAATCGGTCAGGTGGGGCCCCCAATATTTGATTTGTCTCTCGTACGGTCGCACCGAGAGGCTTTTATATATCGAGGCTCCTCTTGCCCTCATCACATCGTCGTTCCACTCACGGTCTCGAACATTTCACGCTGCAGGGGACGCTTCGTCTTCGCAAAATGCGGCCACTTCTAAACGGAATCATTTTCATGCAGGACACAAAATAAACGGCGTTTACATATGCAGCTGTTGTTCTTATTACCCGCTTTTATTTAACTCACTCTGTCTGTTGTTGTTGTTGTCGTTGTCGTATCCTCAAATCTTGTAACTAAATTTTAACCCACTTCCCAATGTGGTATCGACTGCAAACTCAGTATAGTTACATATTACTGATGACAATACTAGATTCTATCACACACAAAATATTTTTAAACAATCTTTTTACACGCTTTCTATTAACTCACTGCTGTTGTATCCTCAAATCTTGTAACTAAATCTTAACCCACTTCCCAATGTGGTATCGACTGCAAACTTGGTATACTTATGTCATACTGATGACAATACTATATTCTACCATTAAATAAAAACATTTTTAAACAATCTTTTTTATATGTTATGTTTCGGCTTGGGTCTGATTGTCTACGCTCAACTCACGTTGGCTGTAAATGACCACGGTCGCCTTACGTTGTGGCAAGCTTCGGAGCCACTTCCTGGAGTCGTGGAGATCTTCCATTACCAGTACGGTACATTTCATTAAAGCGTGTTTTAAAAAAAAGTATTTTTAAATATTATTTTACACTTTTGTTGAGAAGACAAAGCTCACGGTGGTTGTCAAGGGTGGGCCTCAACTCTTCACTTTGGCATCCCGTGCCCCCCACTCGAAGTTACGCCGCTCCATTAGCTGCAAGCACTTGGTTTGCTGATCTGTTTCGTTCGTTGTATATTTTCATCATGAAGGTGGGTTTTTTTTGCATTTGGGTTAGATCGCATAAGTATAAATGTGTCGTTACCACAGATAATTAGTAAGGTTTGTCACATAAACAAAATGTGACAATTAGTTACTAGTTCAGCACAACGGTGTGTTGGAGAGTAAATCCACAACATTTACAATTTGAGTACTGTGGCGTTTTCTCGGTAATTACATCCAGCATCATTCTGCCAGAATTCTGACAAAGTCGCCCGATGATGTTGGATGTAATTACAGGTGAAACATCATACTCACGAGTCAACGACACGTTTATACTTATGCGATCTAACCCAACAAAAAAAAACTTTATTGTGAATAATATTTGTATTCACCACGACGCTGGTGATTAGTTCTAGGTGAGAGGAAGGGTTGGTTTCAAATTTTCCGAGGTTGTTTTGGTCGAAACCAGCTGGGGAGACAACTTGGGAGACCAGGGATGGGTCTCGTTCGCAAGAGTGACCCACTCGGGTCACCACATTGACAAAAGGAAAACATAAAGGTACAGGAATTAAGCAAAATATAAATAATATTAAATAATCATGACTACCAATGTCGTGCATGTAAAACGTGTCGGTTCCACGATCGATGGTATGATTCACTAATTCAGTACGTTTAGGAATTGGCACTGTCGTTCTTTGAGCAGAAGGCGATTATCACGGATGGAGGCGCTGCTCTGTTTCACAGACACAGGCTGCGGTGGTTTCACAGTACCAGGCGATGTTGCTGCTGCCGCATGTGATGCCAATTGAGTAAATTGCGGTGTAATTGTTGACATTTGGCTAATTTGAAACGTCGTGATGCCAGCACACGCGGGCTTTCCTTGTTCAAATAACGCCACTGGATCTTCAGAGTGTTCACTGTGAGTGAAGCAGGAGAAATACACCACCACCCCTGCCACTGCCACAGTATATTACCAGGCGGCCTGCCACATTCGAACCGCGAACCTCTGAAATGAGCGGCAGAATGCACGACCGCTGGGTCTAACTAAAACTATATTAACTTTTATTTTTATTTTGTCCAGGTAAGGCCTACTGAGCTGTAATGCTCTTTTTCAGAAACGACCTGGCTATCACAAATGAGAGCTCAACACAGTGGCTTGTCACGTAGAAATTTATAGCAGCAGCCAAATACTCTAAACGCGTGTTTCCAAATGACCGGGAGAAAAATCCACGCAACCACGGGGAGAGAGACCCGCAAAACCCAAATATACATAAGCGTTGGGATCGGACCCATGTCTCCTATATACAAGGCGTTGGGAGATAACATCTTGTCACCGGGTCAGTTCCTGGCGCGGGTGGCTCGGCAGATTGTTGCATCTCAGGGTCATGAGAGATGCGGAGGCAGCCGTCATCCAGACTGCGGAGTGGGTGGGATGATAGGGGAGGGGTAGAAGAGCGAGTGAGTGGTAGGGAGTAGAGCGAGATTAATCCACATTGGCGCGATCACTCAGGCACTTTGTGACAGGTGCGACCACTGCTTGTGATTTTGGCGGGTGGTGATTATGTCGTGGTAACGCATGTGGCGTAGCTTTGCTGATGATGGTGTTCAATGTTGATGCTGGCAGTGTAGTTGATGACGATGTTTTTGCTGATGGTGACTTGTTGGCTGATGATGATGACGTGTGTCCTGTAGGCTTTACCGTTGAGCGGAATCCTCGATTGCCTGGGTCACCTGGCTCAAGTGCAGCTCTCCGACAACCCATGGGACTGCTCTGCTTGCAGCCACGACTCCCCTCATATATCCTCCTCATCCTCCTCGTCATCATCGTCATCTCCGGTGCTCCCCCTGTGGGACTGGCTGCAGCAGAGGCCTGAAACAGCACAGATGGCGGCGGGCTCTTTCGACTTCCCACGGTGCTGGTGGCCTCCGTCGCTCCGCAACGCGAGCCTGCGCGACGTTCCCAGGTCCCACCTGGCTTGCCCTGTGGGCCTCCAAGCACCACAGGGCAAATCCTCTCCCGCCGAGGGGGACGCCGACGGGCAGCAGCAGCGGCCCCAGCGGCCCCAGCGGCCCGACGCCTGCCCGGCCGCATGCCACTGCAGCCCCTTGACCGAGGAGGATTCCGGCGTCGCCGTCTTCTGCCGGGAGCGCGGCCTGGCCGCTGTGCCGCGGTTCTGGCCGACGCAGGCGCCCGATGCCAGGAGGCTCGACCTGAGCTGGAACCTCATCGAGGAGGCGTTGCCCGACGACTTCGAGGGCCTCGGCAGCCTCCTGGAGCTCGACCTGTCCCACAACCGCGTGGCGAGCCTGCGCCCCGGCACCTTCTCGCGGCTGCGCTCCCTCCGGCGCCTACAGCTGAGTGGCAACGCACTCACCAGGCTTGGGCCTGGAGTCTTCGCGGGCCTCGCCTCACTCGCGTTCCTCGACATCGAGCGCAACGCCATCCGGGAGGTGGGCGCCGGGGCGCTTGCTGAGCTGCCCGCTCTGCGGCAGCTGAAGCTCGCGCGCAACCTCCTGCACGAGCTGCCGCTGGCGGTGCTGCGGGGCCCGGTGGAGCTGGCGCGCCTGGACGTGCGCGGGAACCGGCTGAGCGTGCCGCCCGTGCGGGGCCTGGGCGCCGCGGTGCAGCTGGAGCTGCGCGACAACCCCTGGCACTGTGACTGCATTGTGCGCCACGACGTCACCCGATGGGTGACGGCGTGGAGGCAAGCGGCGCCGCAGGGAGGTATGGGTACTGCCAGACGCGGTGGTGGTGGTGTTAGAGAGAGAGGTGGTTGTAGTGAAGTTATGGGAGAAGGTGGTGATGGTTCTGTTGGTGAGAATGGTGGTGGCGGCGGCGTTTATGGGGAGCGGTAGTGTAATGGTTATCGCGCTGCGCTATGAACCCAGTGACCCGAGTTCTATTCCCACTCATGGCCAGCACCAGTGACGATTATCTGAATCGGTCCTGGACCTCTCCTGGGTCGACTCAGTCTCAAATAAATACCTGGTGTGTTGTGTAAAACCTTGCCACTGGGGAGACAAAGGCCGTCAGGCGTGGTCCTGGCCACTCACCCCCTCCTGAGCAATACTGACCTCAATAGGCACTCACTCACAGCACTTGCCCCAATAGTCTGGTAAGGTTATAGCGGCGATCTTTGTCTCTGTCTGTCTTTGGTATGAGTTGTGGTGGTGGTGGTGGTGGCGGTGGCGGTGGCGGCGGCGGCGGCGGTTGTTGCATTTGTAGTGATGGTAATGGTGGTGGTAGTGGTGTTTAGGGCCGTGACCTTTTCCACTGTCGACCAAACCCACACAAATCTCAGTCAGCATGATGTCTATTATCAGAAAGGTGCAGTTTACTGTGATGAGGCTGAACACAGCCATACTGACACCAGATCTCGGTACTAATTAATGCCAACTACAGGAGGTGACCCGAATGGTGGTGGTAGTGGTGATGGTGGTGGTAGTGGTGGTGGTGTAGGTAGGAGCGTGGTGGTGGTGGTGCTGATGGTAAGAGTGGTGGTATCGGTATAAGTAGGAGCGTGGTGGTGCTAATGGTAAGAGTGGTGGTAGTGGTGTAGGTAGTGAAGCTGGCAAGCAGTTGGATTTACAACTTACACATGGATCTATAGCTGCTACTCAACTCGTATTCTCCCTATTCTGCGGCCGTCTGGAACGCTCTTCCTATATTAGGAAGCCACTCCAGCTGTGCACTTTAAAATCTAAAACTATATTCGTGAGAACTGCTGTTTAGTTTGATGTCCTTCCCCCGCACCTCCGATTAGCGCGCGTGGCTACGTACGGTGCGAAAGAAGCTCAACGTACATATGTCGAGCATGAGAGAGAAACAGAGTAGAGAGAGAGTAGAGAGCAGTGCTGGAGAAGTGTGGAGGCCTCTTCCCCCCTCACGCGCTCACCACCACCACCACCACATCTCCCCCGCAGCTCTCTCCACGATGCCTCCCGGCGTGAGCGGCGCTCTCTGCGAGGGCCCCGCCGCCATGGCTGGCCGGTCCCTGGCGTCCCTGCGGTCCGACGAGCCGTGCGTGGAGGCCCCCACCTCCACGACCCCTGCTCCCGCCGGACCCCACGTGGGGACCCCCCGAGCGCCCGAGACCTCCTCCTCCTCGTCGTCGTCACCTCCTCCGGCGGCCGGGCCCGAGGCCTCGCTGCCGCTGCACGTGTTCGTGGCGGGCGTGGTGGCCGTGTTCATCGTGACGGCCGTGGGCACCGCCGGGATCTTTGTGCTCGCAATGCGCAGGTGTGGTGATGCTGCGCGGCACGGTGGGATCTGCGATGACAATAATAACAATAACAACAATAATCTAACCCTTTCTCGTTTCGAGACGACTGCAAGTTGCAGGGTGGGTAGTATCCCGTTCGCCGCCGAATCTCAGAACGTGCAAGCGGCTCAGCGTTCATTTTATTTTGAGAGGCAGAGCGCCATTGTTTTTAAAGACATTGTACTCACCGCAGAGAACTGTAGCGACACGACCGCACTATGATAGCTGGCGCCAAAACTGTACCATGCCCTCCCGCATTGACTTGTGGGAGCCTCGTTACTAAAAAAGTAATTTTATTTTAGTCCTTTTTACAGGAAAGGGTTAATAATGTTTCAACTTGTAAATTGGCGCCGCTGCTGCCACACGGTATTCACTCGCGAGGAGAAACCATAGATTAGAGGCAAGGTCGTCTCACAGTGAGGAGCCAGTGCTACCAACTATTGCCCAAGTTCTGCTGTCCTCTATATGTTAAGGTGTTGTCAGCCAGTTAACGAGTGTTTACATGTGGGAGGAAACCGAAGCAGCTGGGGAAAACCCACGCGTGCAAGGGGATAGCACTCTTCCCCACACCGATCGAACAGGTGGAGTCCACACTTTGCTGTACCGCCTTCCCCTGGCGATCCTCCTCGACGCTCACGGGAGATACTTGCACAGTGGATTACATGCCTAAAAATAAACTATTTTTATTTTACCAAGTATGCCCACTGAGTTATATAGCTCCTTTTCAGAAGTGACCTGGCCACAAATGATTGTTCAATGAAGTGGCTTATTATGTGGATATGTACAACAGCCAAATACTCAGGATCGAATCCACAACCTCCTGTATACCATGCGAAGTAGTTAACATCTTGCCACCGTGGGACCTGAAGCCACCACCACCCGGCTGATTAGGCCAAGTAACGATCTGGCCAAGTTTTTGTGGCATTGCAAGCATTTAACAATGCAACATGTTCACACAAAAACCCACAGATCCTTACCCGTGAAATTCAAATGCACGTATCGTTAGCTCAAGCGTAAATACTAATACATGTAAATGTGAACATTGCGAGTAGGCTCACACATGTTGAACTTCTTTTTCACCGTGTGTAGCCAACCGTGCTAATCGGAGGGTCGCGTCACTTCTAGAGGCATCGCGTGACATCGCGACTTTGCCCAGACGTGTAGCGCGTAGGGTTTTGGCAGCTGCTTGTAAATCCATGCGTTGCGAGGGCTTCATCCCCTGAACCTTAGCCACCAACGACTCGCTGCATGCGGCACGTTCGCGATTGTTGCTTCAGCTCAGCTCACCAGAGGATTTGGAGAACAATTCTCACAATTAAGATTTAATAATCCAGCATCCAGATCACCTTATTTTTTTGATTCTATAAATATGTAATACCCTGAAGTAGGTTTATTGTGGCAAGGCATACGTTGTATTTCAGTGGTAGTGCCTTACCCCAATAAATCCCTACTCCGAGAAAACTAGCAGAGTTGCGAGATATATCAATTGAGATGTTAACCCTTTCCCATTCAGATGACGTATGTGCATGTCATTGGCTTTCCTTCCGATTCTGTTCAAATGAGGTATGTTTACATCATCAGAACGGAATCGAATCAGAACGCAATCAGAAGTAAAAAGCAATGTGGGAGGGTCGTGTGGCGCACTTTGGCACCAGCTATCATAGAGTGCGGTCGTGTCACTACAGTACAATGTCTTTAAAAACAGCAGGGCTGCGCCTCTCTAAATCAAATTAACGCTGAACCGCTTGCGCGTTCCGAGATGAACCGGTGAACGGGACTTATCCTGCAACTTGCAGATGTCTTGGAAGTGGAAAGAGTTATGCTCAGTGCATAGCACAAGCTTGGAACCCTGTGTGCCACAAAAAGGACTGATTTTCCTCCCGACCAACAGCAAAGATGTAGTGGAACTCAGACGCATTCTGGTGGTGATTCCACTGAGCTGTTGATGAGACTGCAGTCATTACATTTGGTTGTGAGGCTTACGTTGGGTGCACTGCAGTTCGGGCATTTTGAGTCAAAGTGCTCATCTCCCATATAAGAATAGGTTTTACCATTTCTGGCAACAATGCTGATGTTAAGATGTTAAACACCAAACAGAAACCTTTTGCAAGGAATCATGTCTGCATCAACCATACGTACTTGTGGTAAACATGCAAACCAAAATCATGCTCTGGTAGTATATGCATTGTCTTTAAAACTGATTGGTCAACACCAGAGACAGCTTTCTTTAGAGCCTAGTCTCAAACAGAGTTATACCAGAGCACGTCAAAAGCCGAACAGCACAAAGACAATGTACTCTCAGGACATTGAGAGCTCGGGTTGAGCAGCTACATCATGGGACCTCCCTTTCCAGTATCAAAATATAAAAATAGGTTTTACCCTTTCTGGCAATGAAACAGGTGTTATTTTGTTAAACACCAAGGAATCATACTTGTGGTGAACATATTACCAGAGCATGTTTTTTCATTGGATGATGCTCATCTCCCATTTACAGCCCTGCTCAGAGCCAGTGGTGGAAATTCCGCATTCCTATGGCCGGGATGAGTCTGTCCATAGGACAACCACCGTTGACTTCCCCACGAACCTATTTTATCGACCCTGGAGGTGATGAGTTGAGTCAACCCATCCAACCCATCCTTTGAACTCGTGACCATTCCGATTACCAGCTGCTCGCTCTTCCGCTGAAATCTTTTCTTGTAACTTTAGCGCAGCAGTGCGCGGAACATAAACACGATAAAGCGTGTGAAACACGCTGACAAAGCGAGCGTGACCTGACATCGCGACGATCGCCACATTGCGAAACGTAATATCGCAGTCGTGCAATGCTTATCATGCGTAAAACACTCTCGGGTTCACAGGAAGCAGCAGAAGCAGCAACGGAGTGGGGGGAAGCACCGAGAGTCCATGGTGGGGGGCGGCTGCAGCGGCGGCAACAACGGCAACAAGGGCTCGGGAGACGCCAACAACCGTGGGCCAGGGGGGGCCAGGGGCACGCCGACGACGCCGACGGGCCGGCGCGGGGCAGGAATTGAGGAGGCGGCCCCCTTCCAGGGCCGTGTGGTGCACAACCCCATCTACAAGCCGCTCCTCGTCAAGGGCTACGGCGACGGAACCGCCGATGGCCTCTACCCGGGCCTGCTGCTCAAGCACCACGAGCTGCACGGCGCCGCCCGCGCCCTCTGCCCCACGCCCCCAACGCCGTGGGCCTGGGCCGGGTCCGCTGTGGCGGTGGACGGGGGCCCGGGGGCACCGGGGGTCGTCCCGGGGTACGGCGGCGGGCCCTGCTCTGGGCCTGGGTCGGTCCCAGCGATCACTTGGCAGAAGCTGTAGAAGGGCCGTGGGGGCGGTGGTGGTGACGGCCGCGTCTCCTCCTCCCACTGCCCTCCGCCCACCACACCTCTGGGCCCTCCGGTGTTTCTCTCCATCATTTATAATCAACGTCAAGCGTTTAGAGTATTTGGCCACTGCTATAAATTTCCACGCAATGATAAGCCACTTCGTTAAGCCATCATTTTTGATCGCCAGATCGCTTCTAAAAAAGAGCTAGGTAGCTCAGCGGGGCCTTACCTGGTAAAATAAAAAAATAGTTTACAGTTTAGTACAACCTGCAGGCTGCCTGCGCTCATCTCCTGCTGGTTTCGTGTTGGACCGGTGACGCGGTGGGCTAGCGGGTAGTGCGCATTCTTCACTCGTCGCGTGAGGCTCGCAGTTTGAATCTTGCAGGCCGCCCCAGGTTATTACCGCGGGAATATTGATAACAAAATGTAATGCGCTGTCTACTTCACTCGAGAGCGACGTCGTTCGAAACATCTAGGCTATTGCGTGTTGGCATCAACGGTCCAAAATTTAAATTGATTTGAAAAATTCGCCACATAATCAAATCGCCCCCTCCACTACTCCATTTGGCTGGAAGAGCCGGAGAGTTTCCCGAGTGATTTCATCTTCTCGGGCTGCACCCTGAATCCTACATCGCAATTCAGGCCAAGTGGAAATATACAAATGACGCAGTGAGAGCTGAGCTTTTGTCAACACCCGATGATGCTCGTTGTAATCTCCAAACTGTTCTTCCTCCTCCGGTTTTGCTGAAAAGACATAATTTGGCACATTTCCCCATGACATGACAATTTCATTGGCTGTCACCCTGTGATGGAAGCTTATAGTTAAATTTGACATCATACCAACATGATCCAACCCAAAATAAACTACGAATTATAAATATCTGGGAAACAATGTGTTCTCAGTTGAGCCGCATGCTGAGAGTTTCTACTCCCGAGCCTCCACTTCCCACTGCTGCTATTGCTGTGGGGTGCCTCGGTGGCGAGATGTTAACTACCTCGACTGGTAGGCAGGAGGTCGTGGGTTCGATCCCAACCCTGATGCCTGTATATTTGGAGTTTGCATGTGCTCCCCGTGGTGGCGTGGATGTTTCCCTCCACATTTAGAATCAACATCAGGCATTTAGAGTATTTGGTTTCTATACATTTCCACGCGATAAGCCACTTAGTTGATCTATCATTTGTAGCCAGATCGCTTCTGAAAAAGAGCTATGTAGCTCAGTGGGACTTACCTAGTAAAATAAACATATTTTAGTTTATCCTCAAGAGTTTCATCATTACTCAACTATATATTAGTATTGGTTAGTATTCGTTATCATTCACCTCATGAACATGCCGCATGCAGCGAGTCATTGGTGGCTAAGGCTCGGGGAACGAAGCTCTCACCACGTGGATCTACATGCGGCTGAAAAAACCTACGCGCTACACGTCTGGACAAAGTCGCAGCGTCGCTTGATGACTCGAGAAGTGACTCATCGGAGAAACGTGCCCCTCCAATGAGCACAGTTGTCTACGCACGGTGCGAAAGAAATTGAACATATATGCGATGCAGCTCACAATGTTCACATTTACATTAATTAGTATCGATGCTCGAGCTAACGAAACGTGCACTGGAACGTGACGCATAAGGATCGTAGGTTTTTTGTGTGAACATGTTGCATGGTTCCATTGCGAGAGACGGCGGCAGCTTGGGGAAGCCTCCATCCAGCAGTATAGTTTATCGTGGCTGATGATTGCGACGTTACTATGAATGTAGCCTATAGCAGCTGTTGTACCCGTAGCTACACCACTGGAAGGGAGAGTGGAGAGAGAAGGATGCACTGTGTTCGCCTCCAACCTCGAGCTTGGTGGTAAAATCAGGGCAACACAGGTACACGAGAGTTAGCTTGAGTTGGCTATACTTGGGAGTTGAGGCGTGAGAGCCAGGGGAAGGGCCGTAGTGTGGGCTAGGCTGGTAGGGCCGTGGTGCAGCAGGAGTCGAGTCTGCTCGGCTCGAGTCCTCCATCCCCTAACCCCTCCCCAGCAAACATGCCAACACGGGGTTAACGTTTGCATATGGTTGGGATCGTTATTCCAAAGTTTCCTAAACGTTGGCCCCTTATTGCCAGCTTTGCTCCTTTCACACGTTTGTTCGTTGTGCACTGGTGCCATTCACAGCGGCGCGAGGGTTTCGCCGGGGTCGTGTTACCGGCATGGTTGCATCTGGCTTTGGAGCGAGCAAATTCAAGTCACATATATCTCCCCGGCACCAATCTGTCAGCTGCCGCAATTCAACTGTCAGAATTCCAAGGTCTCTTGGTGGAGGCTACTCTACGGATAGGATAACCGCAGTTGACGTCCCACAAAGTGCTATTTGTTTTAGGTACCCCACACTGATGATAGGCTGAGCTGACCAGCCACAAGCAAAATTTGAATGTGTGACTTACGATGTTGATTTGGGTGCTCCGAGCTGAGCTGGCCTGTACTGATTGGGCCCCCATGGCTACTCGGCATTTGCCCACGTGGCCACTCATCTACAAACGTAAATATAAGCCACAAGTGCCCAGTTTTCAGTCAACGAGATGTGACACCTGTGGCTTTGATTTAATTGACATAACTCGGTGAATCTTCTTCTTTGTGCTTCTAAAATTTAACAAAAGCAACGTGGTTGTGGTTGTGTGTTTTTTTTATGCGTAGAAGAACATTTACGTTTAATTTACACACGCAAAGACCAAGAGTGCGCGACGTCGCTCGCATTCGGCAGTTTAAGTTTTAAAGTTTGTCGAGTGCAGTTCAGAGATCAGTGCAGCAGCATTACGGCTGTCAAGACTTCACTTTATTTTTACATCTTTGTACCCAAAGTGGCTTACAGCACGGGAAGGGAAGTCGATTCAAGGATAGAATGCGTAGGAAATGAGAAATGGGGATGGGGAAGGGAAGCGAGAATAGACATAATGGGATAATAAGAGTAGGGTGTTAAAGGATTAGAGAAACAGAAGCGATGGGGATTAGGAAAGATGAAGCGGCTGCGTAAGGGCCTCGATGCTGTTGTATGGAGGAAGCGACGTCCATTTTCACAGTGGGCGGCGGTGGGGAAAGGGGAGGGATCCAGAGTGGGGGTGGCCACACAGAAGTCACGTGAGGCTTGAGGGAGTTCACATTTTCAGTATATATGTAGAGATGTGGATTCATTTATAGGATACACAGCCCTGTGTTGTTGGAGGATGTAAAAAACGTGGTGCTTGTTTCCTTTTGTCAGTGCTCGTCCAATAATTTATCTGGATAAAATGAACAGCTTAGTTCCCAAACGCGTTCTTTCACGGGATTAGTGGAGGACTCACGACCACTCCCATGCCGCTGGCCAATCACAGCTTGGGGGGGGAGGACGGGCCGAAGGGAAGCCACTACAGCATCACGACGTCATGACGCAAGCCCCACCTTATGGACGGAGCACACCAATCGGGCTACGGTCTGTCTGTCACACACACCTGCGCGTGTGGTAGTGTAGCGGTTAGCGCGCTACCTGGCGACCCGACTTCGATTCCCGCTCACGGCCAACACCAGGGACGATTATCTGAACCGGTGCTTGGGCATCCCCTAGGTCGACTCAGCCTCAAATGAGTACCTGGTGTGGTGTGTAAAACATCGCCACTGTGGAGACAAAGGCGGTCGGCCGTGGTGTACGGCACCCACCCCATCGTATACCTTTCCGGTCTTCATAGGTGCTACTTGTTAGCAGCATTTACCCCAAGTCTGTTAAGGCTATACGGGGGTCTTTGTCTTTTGCAGTGGTCAGCGCGCTGCTTTCCATTCTCGGCTCATCACCAATAACAATGGCAATTATTTGAAGTCGTCCTTGGCTTCTCCTCGGTCAACTTATGCCTTAAATGAGTACTTGGTGCAGTGTGTTCCGTGCTGGCCTTCATAGGTGCTCACTAACAGTTATTGTCCCAACAGTCCTTTAAAGGTGATACGGGGGGTTCTTTGTGCGTGTGTGTTTGTTCATCTGTTGACAGAGTAGGGGGCACACACAGCTGGTGCATCTGCCAGTCATCTCGGTTAGTCAAACCATAGCACGTGGGTCTGTCCTGTGACCTGTCAGCGAGCCTTCGACACTTCACTTGGCCTCAAAGTGCACCTGGCCTTGCACAGGCGCCGTAGTGACGTCACAGTCACATAGTGGCCAATGGCTTGTTGGTGTTCACGAGTGGTGGGAAGAATGGCCGTTCGGAATGTGAAGGTTCTGCCACAGGCACTGGCAAGGCCTGTAGCTCATCGCCATGGCTAGCATCGAGTCAGTGGTGGGAATCTCGCATTCCCATGACCGCGTTTAGTCGACCCACAGCACCACCGCTGGCACTGCTGTTGACGATGCCAATGAAGGCGATGATGTTGCAGATAATGATAATATGTTGCTGCTGATGATGATGGCGATGAAAATGATGAAGAAAAATATGATAATGATAATGATGTTTCTGCTGCTGCCGATGTGCGTCTGTGTAACAATGTGAAAGCTGGTGGGTTTGCATGGGTTAGGCTGGTGTCTTTGTGTGGGTGAGGCTGGTGTGTGTGTGTGAGGCTGGTGAGTTCGAGAGCGTGAAATTTGTAATTGTATTGATATGTGTCAGTAAAGGCACGTTGAATGTTTGTTATTATAAATGTAAGGTCGCATTTTTTAAATATGTTTTGGAGGCATCCTCCCGCTGGGATCCATCTCTGCCAGGGTCCGAGTACAGACCGACTCACGCGATTCTATATATGTCATAAGTTCAGGCTTGTCGTAACTCCGATTTCACGAGGGAATGCATACGATAAACCTCGAAATTGTGGGTGAGCACTTACGGGGCTCTCAGCACCGCTCACTCGAAGGTCGATTGTCATTTTTTTTAAAATAACCGATAACATAACAATGAATTACAACATTCATATTAAAAGCATTTACAATATAAATAACATGTATAATAAATATACTTACCTCCGTCACAGATCAGCTGAAGCAAACAGGTTGCATGGGATTGCCTCAAGGCCGTAATTATAATATATATTGGGGGGGACACATCCCCCCCAATATTCGAATATGCTCAAAATGTCCCCCCTAATGTATTGTTATTAAATAGATTTCTGTTTATATGATTGTGGTTATGGTTGTACTTTATTAATCCATACTCTCTGCCATTACATACAATGAAACAAGAAAATGTAAAAAAAAACAGAGCAATGTAATACAATACACTATTAGACATTATTGTAAAAAACAAAGACAAAGTCCATGCCGTGTGTTAGTGAATTCGTAAAATATTTTAGGCAGGAAATGGCAGGAAATTAGTTTTCAAATTTAGATTTTTTTTTCTGGGGGGGTACCCCCACACCCCCTGGAAGATTTGGTCCCCCCAATGTTGACTCCATGGCTACGGCCTTGGGTTGTCTACACGGAAGCTGATTGGTTGGTGCAGCATTTAAAAATCTTAAGCACGCCTCAAAGTTGTTATGCTGTAGTTTAATTACTTAATAAAATGGCCTGTATACACACAACAACTGCAAATCATTTAATTAAGTATTATTTTTGCTCAGTTCCATTGGTAGCCAAAAATCGTGGTGGAAATTCGTGATTCCTATGACGAGGCCCTATACCTCCGAGGGATGACCGCTGGTTATGCTCCACAAAATGGTAAAAGTTTTATCGACTCCGAATGGATGATGATAGACTGATTCAACAACTCGTAGCAGTGACGCGAGGTTCGCGGTTCAAACACAGCGGCTGCCATAATAATTGCTGCAGGAGTGACAACCATAGCAAAACACGCGCCGTCCGCTTTACTCACAGTGGACGTGAATGACCCTGTGTCAGCATTTGCAAGGGTAGGTCAATGTGTGCCCGGGCATCGTGGTCACATTTTTTGGTAAAATTGTCAACGCACATAAATCACAGGTAGAAGCACCACACCCCCCCCCCCCCCCCTCTCAATGATGCACAGGGGTCACTCTTGCAAATGAGACTCATCCTAGTCGCTTGAGCTCTCATGTGATCGATGTGCCGGGGTTTGAACTCGCGACCTTCCACTTATGAGCGG